AACTGGAAAATGGCGTCCTTGCAGCGGCAACAGGGGGAAGAGAAAACATTCCCGCTCGATTCTACGTCATGGGATGCGCAGAAGCAAAATTTCAGGCGCGAGATTTAACATTTAATATGTACTATATATTATTCAAAAACATCTACACTTAATAATTAGTAATCAATAATAAATTCAATAAATATGAATTTTTATTTTTTATGTCACGTAAATACAAAATGATAATTGTATTCAGTTTCAATATAAATAACTTTACTAATCTAAATGTTTATAATTTCTAAAAAGCAAAAAAAACTTTGTTTAAAAAAAACTTTATTCTCGTATTATAAAATTTTTTTAAGGTTGACAGATTTTTAAGTTATAAAATTTAAATTTATGATTTTTAAAAGTAAAGCTATTTTTAATTATTTCTAACTTTAAAATTTTTATTACAGATAAATTTCGCCAGAAAAAAATTTGGTTTATCTTTCACTTTTGCAAACTATTAATGATAAAAAATATATTCGGGATTCCACGTTACATTTTGGTTTAAAATTTAAATTCGGGCAAACATTTTTTTTTCGTTTCTTAAGGGTAAACAAATATACATATTTTTTTCGGCAGCCAAATTTTCGTGTTACGAATTTTTGAAATTTTGACTTTTTGAAAGTAGACCTATTTTTAATGTTATGTTACTCGAAAATTATTGACATTAGAAAAAGTTTGTTATTTCTTCGACTTTTGAATAAAATTAACGAAAAAAACAATTTTTTCAATTTGCGCACTTTTTAAAAAATTTGTTTGCTTTATATTATGGCTGAAAATGATAAGAAAATACTTTGCGTATAGTTTGAGAATGGGCCTGATAAAAATGTCTTATTCAATTAATTTATTTATCAAATTTTTTTACCTTTTTTTCTATTTTTGTAAACAAAAAGTTTTTTTAACTACACAAGCTCTTTATTTTTCTCATAAAAAATAAAAATAAAATACATTTGGATTAAAAAAATAAAATAAATAAGACCAAAAAAAAATTTTTGTTAACAAATTATTTAAACAAGAATTTTGACCTGGCCCATTCTCCAACTATATGCAAACTATTCTTATCATTCGATTCCCAGCTAAGAAATAAAGCAACAAAAATTAAAATAAAAAGTGCTTAAATTGGAGAAAAAATAATTTGTTTATTTAAAAACTATGATTTTTTTAATAAAAATTAAAAAATTATTTTTTTTTGATAAATTTATTTAAAACTCGAAGAAAAAACAAACTTTTTTTCTTGAGGCGAAATTTTTGTAATGTCAATAATTTTCGAGTTACATAACATTGAAGATAGGTCTACTTTCAAGAACTCAAAATTTAAAAAATTCGTAACTCGAAACTTTGGCTACCGAAAAAAATATGTATACTTTCTTTCCTTAAGGAATGAAAACAAATATGTTTACCCGAATTTAAATTTTGAACCCAAATCTGACGTGGAATCCCCCATATGCAAATTTTTATTTTAAAACACTATCTTTTTAAAAAAGCTAAATTTTTTAATTGAGCGTTATAAATTTTATTTTTGCTTCTTTATTTATCAGTAATTAAAAATAGTTTACAAAAAGTTTTAGAAAGTGGGCCTGATAAAAATGAAATAAAACTTTGTTTTTGCTTTATTATATTTTTATGACGAACTTTTATATTAACATTAAATAACTTTTAATATTACTCATAAAAAAGTCAATTAAAATCCCAGTAAAAAAAAATTGAGAGTAAGGAAAAATAATTGGGAGTTAGCTTACTTTGTATTCGGTTTGGCGTCTAAACCGTGTAGGGTCGTTACGGTCAATTATTTTTTCTTACCCTGAATTCTTTTCATCTGGATTGTTTGAATTGATGTTTGTTGATCAAAATTTGCAATACAAATGAATAGAATGCATGTTCCAAAGTGTCAAAATGCCGATTTGGAATAAGAAATGTGAAATTTTATGAAAACGACAAAATGTGAAATATGACAGATTTATCGACAATTTTACCATGTGAGTAGTGTTCATATGTGACGTTCCATGAGGAAAGGGACCTTAGCTGCAAAAAAATGAAAATTGAGTTTTTGATATCAGTCGATAGATCTTGAGTTGCTCTTTCAGATACAAAAGTTAAAAATTGTACTTTTCTATTTAGTTTTTTTGTTATAAAGCATTAATCATGACCATGTTAATCGCGTTCCAGCATGGACTACAGAAACCATCCCCACCACTACTACTACTAGTATACTTGTCGTAAGCGTGAGCTGTAGGAACGATGTAGTAGTAAGGTGGTGGGGCTGATTTTCGATGGAGGGTCTCAACCAATCAGGGACGCTCTACTTTAAATACCTTTTCTGGAAAATGCGTCTATTGCAGCTAAGGTCCCTTTCCTCATGGAACGTCACATATGATAAATTTACCATACGAGCACTACTCACATGATAAAATTGTCGATAAATCAGTCATATTTCACATTTTGTCTTTTTCATAAAATTTTACATTTCTTATTCCAAATCGGCATTTTGATACTTCGGAACATGCATTCTATTCATTTGTAATGCAAACGTTGATCAACAAACATCAATTCAAACAATCCAGGTGAAAAGAATTCAGGGTAAGAAAAAATAATTGGCCGTAACGTCCCTACACGGTTTAGACGCCAAACCGAATACAAAGTAAGCTAACTCCCAATTATTTTTCCTTACTCTCAATTATTTTTTTTACTGGGATACATTTAGATTTAGACAATTAAAAAAATTGTTATATAAATTAATTTTTGTGTTAATATGGTTTTAAAAAGTCAATGAAAAACTAAGCTATTCTTCTTTTCACCAAACACGAAATCGTTTGTATTTATACCAGGATATTCATATTAAAAGTATAATATAATATAATATAATATAATATAATATAATATAATATAATATAATATAATATAATATAATATAATATAATATAATATAATATAATATAATATAATATAATATAATATAATATAATATAATATAATATAATATAATATAATATAATATAATATAATATAATATAATATAATATAATATAATATAATATAATATAATATAATATAATATAATATAATATAATATAATATAATATAATATAATATAATATCCCGTGTGGAAAAGTGATGTGGGCCCCCAGTGGGGGCCCTTATGGATCGCCCTCATGCCATGAGGGGCGCATATGGATGATCCATAGGGGCCCCTCATGGAAACGACATGCTCATCGATGAGGGCGATCCATGAGGGTGCCCCTACGGGCGCCCTTATGGGCCCTCACGTTTGCCCTCATCTTGCCCTCAAGTTTGCCATAATGTTTTTTAGTCAATAATATTAATAATAAAAGTTAATTAATAATAAATAAGCTTAAGTTATGAATAAATAACATATTTATTTAATAATTATTCAATTTTAAATTAAATTCTTACTCAAACTGAATTTATTAATTAACGTTCTAATTAATTAACTGTCGGATATAATTAAAAGTAATAATAAATTAATTAATTAAAAAATTAAAAAATATGTAATTTATGCATACTATTAACGGATATTTTCATTTTTCAATTAATTCATACAAAGAATTAATGATTAAACGCAAACCTGAGAAATAAATAAATCTAACGCATGGGGGGAATCGAACCTACGACCTACGGACTATGAGTCTAACGCTTTACCAACTACGCTACGCACGCTACTTCAAAACGAATGCTAACTTCTTGATGCTATTTAAACTTGAAAAATACCTAACAAAGAAAAGTGCTTAACATCATTTAGTTAAAGTTAAGATATTAAATTATATTTTCCAATCAAATGCAATTTATAAAATATAATTAATTATATGCTTTATGATTATTATCATGAATCATCTCAGGTGAATTTTCAAAAAAAGTGTAAATATATTTTTTTTAAAAACGCATTTTTCGTTGTTTTGAATCATTGGAAACATTCATTTTTTGTTGACAAAAAAATATTTGAATTTTGGACTTAGAAAATTTTGCTAATCGATCATGAGGGCGATCCATGCGGGCCCCTACGATGGCCCTCATCTATTTTGCCATAAGTGTGAGTGTTATTTTCAAAAAAGTGTAAATATATTTTTATTAAAAACGCGTTTTTCGTTGTTCTGAATCATTATAAACATTCATTTTTTGTTGACGAAAAAATATTTGAATTTTGGACTTAGAAAATTTTGCTAATCGATCATGAGGGCGATCCATGCGGGGCCCCTACGTTGCCCCTCATGGATTCGCCATATGGATCAGCCCTCATGGGCCCCCGCCGGGGGCCCCGAACTCTTGAGGGCAAGATCGTGGCTTTTTCCACACGGGATAATATAATATAATATAATTTATAATTATAATATATTATATGAGTATATTATTATATTTTAATAAAGTAATTCATTTGCAATGATGTCGCGTTACGTGAAAGCATTAGTCCGGTGATAAGCGAGCTTCATTGGTCTGCTTCTAAACAGGCCGGTAAAAATGATGCGCAATAGTAAGCACACCGTCGGGTGCACACCGTGTTACTAATATGCCTGGCACGTTTGTTATCTGTGTTATAATCCGATTCTTTCGGATACGAACAGGTCGTTTCTTCATCCGTTAGCCAGTTTGTTGGGATGAGATCCGCCACAAATTTATTATTAATAGTTTCGTCTTCGAATTTTACGACACAATGTGTGTAGTCTTTCTCCTGTTATTAAAATTATTTAAATTTTTTAATTTTAATTTAAAAATTAAATTACTTAAATTTAATACTTAAATTTAAGTTTTAATTTTTTTTTATTTTATATTTAAAGTTAATAATTTTCAAATAATTTATTTTATTTTTAATTTTTTAAAAAATTTTTAAACTAACTTAAAGAAGGTAAAAAAAATAAGTGAAGAAAGATTTTTAAAGTCACGTTTCATACTGTCTGCATATATTATATATAATTTTTAAATGTTTTCACTAACTTACCATTTCCATTTTTTTTATTTATAACTTCAATCGCAATAAAATTTTAATTCTCAACTTTAAAATTAATACTGGAACTGATTGAAAACTTTTTGTTTATAAAACGTTTGAGAAATAATAAACGAATAAAATTGAACACTACTGATAGATGTGAAACTTTCAATGTAATTTATTCACTATACGTCCCTCTCGTGGTGATCGCAGAAACCTCCTAATTCCAATCTCTGTTCATACTTATTGGCCGTTTTCTGAATTTAGTCAGATCAATTTTGATTGGTTTGAAGCAACGGAATTAACATATTCTGTTGGTACGAACCAATCAAAATTAACCTAAAATTGACTCTAATCATATTTATCACTTCGCATTTCCTCTTGTTTATCGATGTGCTTTGATTTTCACGTGTCGATCAACTATTTTTACGAAAAAAAGTATTTTTTGTTTGTTTTTGATTGATTTAATCTGTTTTTTTGGAAGTTAAAATGAGTGTTCCAGTTGACCAATTGATAAGTAATGAACCAGTAAGTAAATTTCTTTAAAACTTAATAATATCAATATAATAACCAAACTTAATATAATTAATAGTAATAAAAGTAATATATTTACAATTAATTATTATTTATTTCTGAAATTATTCGAATTTCTTAAACTTCCAAAATAAAAATTTATAAAATAGAAATTAATTTTTATTATATTATTCTTTAAATTAAAAGCAATCTCTTTGTTGGGAGGTTATGTTATGGGCATCATCCTCCTTAAGTTAATAAAATAGGATGAAAATGAGAGCGTGTTGTAGCTTTCTTTAAGCATTTTTTGTGCTATAATTAATATTATTTTTTTGTTACAGCAGTCTGATTTATTGACATCAATATTATCTGAAGCAGAGGATTTTCAGGTAGAGAAACGCAGAAAAATAGATTCGAATTCAACTTCAGGTTTCCTTTTTTAAAAAAATAGTTTATTCAGAATAATTTGTTGCTAATGGAGTAATGCTATATAATTAATTTATCAAATAAAATTTCAGAAGTGACAGAAGCATCTGTTTCTAATACGGATCATTGGGGTCCAAATTTAGATGAAGATATAATGGCAGACGAGTATCATGATAATGTTGAAAATCCTATCGAAGAACAATCCGAAAATATTTCTAAAGTCAAACTTGACCCAAATATGGATTTTGCGATTTAGAAAATATGAAAACTGGATTCATTAATTCGTCAAAATTATTCAAAAAAAGAATTATACAAAAAGTTAAAAAAAGGACGGCTTTTTTGGAATCCACTATTGCGAAGAATGCAGGTAAAATGGCATTAACAGATTTAAGGACTCATTTGGAAGCATTGGAAGTCAATCTGCCAATTTCTAATGTCGAAGAATTTAATAAAGCAATCGCCGCAAATGTAGAAAAAATAAAATCACTTGTAAGTATTTTCTAAAGTTTCTATATGGGTCAGACAGTAATATATATTTCAATACAGCCGTTGCAGCCTAATTTAAAAAAATGAGTTTAAAGTACTGTTTTTAGAATTCATGACTTAATTATAATTATTATTATTAAAAATTAAATTAAAATAATTAATTTTTTATTATTTTTATGCTTTTAAAAATTTATTTATTTATTTAAAAAAGTTTTTAGGGTTAAATAAGACAAGATAATAGGATAAAATAAAAATTTTTATGAATATTTCAAGAATTTTCAAAAAAGTAAAATATTAATTAATTTAGTCATTTGCAGAAAACAGTAATGACTGTTCAAGCCCGACAATCGTCAACCTCCAAAGAAGCTATGATGAAAATACTGAGCGGGATAATGAAAAAATCCGTGCAAGAGAAATACAGTGCATGTGGCAAAGGGCATGACAATAAGTCATTTAAGAACACCTTCATTTATGCTACTATGCGAGGTAAGTTCCCTTATTTAATTTTTTCTGTCACATAATTTTGTCTAATTTTTGATTACATGAAAATTTAATTCCAGATAAAAGCTGATTGACTCAGAATCAAATTTTTAAGAGCCTCTCAGAATAATACTTATTTAAAATGATTAAATGCAATTTTTTGTTAAAATTCAAAATCACTGAAAATTCTCAAATATTTTTTTTATAATTTTAATTCAAATTAATGTACTAATTTCAGATGTTATATTAGACTCGTACAAGGATGCTCATGAATCCCAAATTTTGACTGATCTTAGCACTTGGCTGTCTAGCGCTGGGGATCGTGAGGGAGGTCGAAAAACTAGGAAAGCAGTGGCGGAACCGCCAGCGAAATAAAGAAGTTTAATAAATGGACGTTGTCCGAAGTATTCTCGATATTTAGCTCTTTGCTGAAAATGTCTTTATTTAATTTTTGTTAAGGGTCTTTTTGGTTAAATTTCGTTTGAGAACTTTTAGGACCATAGTTTTAAACATTTTAGCTTTGCATTTTCTTTTCATGGCAGCAATAGCTAACATACGAAATACTTAGTAGAGTGCGACCCTTAAACCTCTTTATTTTTTTATACTCAATATGATTTTCAATGTAAAATGCTTCTTTATTCAAAATAAAGCTATGTCGTAGAATAAAAATTGTGATAGATTAATTTCATATACTCCATAGACAGAATATGTTGAATTAAAGAGTGATTTTAGTTATCAAAATAAAAATAAAATAAAAACAATAATAATAAACCCATTATTGATTCAGAGTTGTCAATTTCTTTTTATTAATGGATGAAAGAATTTTAATTAAAAGTGTAGTTTTTTGTGTAATTTTTTATATAGAATTAAGTAGGATTTTTATTTTATAAAAATGGTATTTTTTGTCACAAAAAGAAATCGTTGTCATGAATAATTTTGTTTTTATTCAGTTTAATATTCTATAATTTTATGTAATAATAATGTGTTTAATAATGAATTCAATTAATAATAATATTTAAATTTTCTGAGGAGAAAGTCGGCCAATTAGTGGCCCACAGTTGGGCCGACCATTATCAAGTAGATTTCAATATTACCATAATCAAAATATAAAATTTTATGTTTTAATCGATTTAGCTGTAATTGATTTACTGAAAAGTTATAAAGGTTATCTCATTCATTTATCGTTATAAATTACAAATTTAATATTTTTTTAATTGCACCTTATAAAATCATTTTTGTTCTTAAGTTCCCATGCGAGCGTAGCGTAGTGGTTAGCGTATTAATCTTCGGTGCGTTAGGTTGCGAGTTCGATCCCAGTAAGCGTTAGTTATTTTAAATATGTATATGTATAAGATTGCGTTTAATGTTAAGATGTAAACAACACATAAATTATGAATTTAAGATAATACCCTATGCATATTAATTGTAGAAATAAATAATCATTTTTTAAACTTTTCTCCGAAGGTCGGCCAAACATTGGCCCGACCATATTTACCAAAGGTGGGCCGACAAAGGCTACCAATGTCAAGCCGACCTTCGTCACCATAGTCGGCACAACTTTGGCGCCCATAGATGGCCCGACTTTGGTACCGATAGTCGGTCCAACTTTGTCAGCCATTGGTTGGCGGCCGTTATCAATTCGCTAGTTCGGCCGACCTTTGGTTGCCAAAGTTGGTACGACCATTCGCAAGGTTGGCCCAACCATGGTCCGACTGACAATTCGCACCTAGGTAAAAAAAAGGAAAAAAACATGCTCAAAGTTAAAAAAAATGGTTATTTTTATATAAAAATTAAAACAATTGTTTTAGTTCTTCTAAAAATAGTTAAGATGATATATATTATTTAAGATAGTATTACACTTTATACCGACCAAAAAATCGATTTTCGTGTATTAAAAAATTTACAAAATTGTTATATACATTCAAAAGAGCGGTTCTTGGCACAATAAGAAATGTTTATGGCAAAAATTTTTCCATTAAGTTTAAGTTCTAAAATATAGTCTCAAACTTTGACAAAAAATCCCTAAAAATAACTATGTACCCCCTCCTGGTGTTCACATCTTTTCACATAGAGAGCTCAAATTTGGTACACTTATGTAATTTTTACGAAAAATATAAAAAAATAGTATTTTTACGTGTAGATTACAAAAAAATATAGCGAGAACGATTGGATTTGATTATCATAGCGTTTTCAAGGAAAAACTGATAATTGTACAAAAGGGCATGTCCCGTTAATAAATAAAATAAATAAAATGAAATAATTTTCGATAAAATTTATGATTTCTCCCCAAAAAACGAAGAAAATTTTATTTAAAGAGCTTCAAATTTATACATTTTTACGTGTAGATTATAGTAAAAATGTAATAAACATGATAGGCTGTTATTGTAATTGAATTTTTTGGAAAAATAAACATTTTTTAAAAAGTGGACTATTACTTTAAGTTTTACAATTTTTGACCTAGAAAGATAAAATTTTCTTCCTTTTTGGAGGAAAAATTCATGATTTTTTTTATCTCTAATTGTGCTTGCTATATTTTTTTGCAGTGTGTTGCTATTCTTTATAATTTGCCATTTTTGCCATTTACTATTTTTTTATCTTTTGCCATTTTTTATCTGTTGATATTTTTATTGTTTGGTGAAATCCCTTTTAAATTTTAGGTTTAAGGGTACGGAACCCTCGGTTTTAATGCGAGTGTAACTCGCACTTGTCCGATTTTTTTATTTGATAGTATAACGTCAAAAATATTGTTTCGACAGGCACCTAGTGTAATTGATTTTTAGGTACTTAGTCCTCCTTTTTGTATCAGTCATTTTTAATTTTGGTAAACTGACACCAGATTTGTAATCAGCGACCACAAAAACCCCAGAATATCATTCAACTTTGAACGATGTTTTCTCAAAACTCTATTTTTGAAGTTGGTAGTAACGATTTTTTTAAAACTTATGAACCGATTTTTCTGAAATTTGGCACACTTCTTTTATATAGTATTAACTAGTGATTGAACGAAGGATTTTTTATTATGTTGATTACAACTGATTTTACATTGTCTAAATAGTCCCAAAAATCGTAATTTGTGAAAAAAACTCTGCCAAAAATTAAAATTTTTTTAAAAACCCTTCGTTCAATCACAAGCTATACTCATCTACTACTACACTGAGAGACCTTTTGCACCGCATCAGAACTACGTGTGTGACTGCAGCGCCACTATAGGTTTTGGTGCGCTGCATTCTAAATTTTGTATCGTGACTGCCTAAAAATGATAATGAACCTTGAGGCCGTCAACTATTTGGACAGCTACGCTCCAAAAATTGTACGGCTGCAGACCAAAAACGTAGTTTCATAGCTGACCGCTAGAATGCTCTGCAGCAGTCTGTCGAAAGTCTGCTACGGTGGAAAAGGTCTCTTAGTGTAGAAATTTTTTGGTCTTTTATTTTTGATGAAGCAGTCATTAGATATCGTGACTACCGCAAAATCACTGATTTTGGCAGGGATCTCAAAAAACCTGTTGCCTTACTTGTCATTTTACTTACAAAAATCTTGCCCTTCAGCATTTTGCGAATTTGAGGACCATTAAAAACACCTTCTTTTAATTTTGTTTCATTGACGTTCAGGAATAGTAAATGAAGTACTCCTTACATACCATACTTCTGTTTCTAAAATCTTGTAAATTAAAGTATAAAATTTTCCAAGACTACGTTATCATAAAGAAAGTTTAAAAGTTGTAACCAGTTACTATTTTCAAGTAAAATATATAACTTGAAATAGTCACAGTTCTTAAAACTAAACAATAAGATATTTGGATTAAAATAAAATTTATCATTTGCAGAATTAATAGAGGTAGCAATATAAAATTTAATGAGAAAGAGCGGATTGTATTTTTCGACTGGCAGTAAATGGAAATGATAACTTCACAAGAAAAAGAAGTATTCACCAAATCCAAATATCTATCATTTGTATTATTGGTGTCACACGGGGTGCCTAAACGAACTTTAAATGACCACTTTTTTTACTTCGTATTTTTTTCTTGCATTCGATTCAGGATCTTAAAAATAGTGTGTAAAATAATTTTTAGCGAAATTCGTCGAGCCGTTTTTAAAAAAGTTATTTTTTGTATAAAAAATTAAATTTTTCATAAATTAAAAATATATTATGCCGATTAATTGATTAAGGAAATAAGTAGATTAATAAAATTACAGATTTTATTCTTTAAATAGAATAAAAACTAATGTTTACATATCATAAGATATAAAAAAATTAACATTTTTTTAACAAACAATGTTATACATTAAATTTTATATTTTTCTTTTGTTTATTATGTACGTAAGTTACCGTAACATCGGTAGATTTTGAATTAATCGAAATATTACCTGTTTATTATATTTAATTGCTAAAAAATTGATTTTTAACATAAAACCGAATTCCGAATAACCTGGACAAATTCATAAAATGGTGACTTTTACACGGTGGATCGTATTTAAGGGTTTTTGGGGTTGCTGATTATGAATCTAATGCTAGAATTCAATATGGCAGATCCAAAATGGCAGGCGAATTTAAAAAAAAAAAATTTATAGCAGAATTCAAAAAGGTGTATCTTTCTTGGTGTGTTAAGAAAAATTTGTTAAAATAATTACTAAAAGTTAAGTTAAAAGTTATCGTTGAATTACGAAAAAAGTTCAAAATTAGCAATTATTTATTTAACCCTTTAAGTCACACATTTTTCTTTTTACTAAATTGGCTTGAAAATTGTTACTCGGGGGTTTTCGGGGCCGCTGATTACGAATCTGACATTAGTTTTTAAAAATTCAAAATGGCGGATCCAATATGGCGGACTTGGAGTTAAAAATTAACTGAATTCGCTTGAAAATTGTTACTCGGGGGCTTTCGGGGTCGCTGAATACGAGTCTGATGTCAGTTTTCAAAAATTCAAAATGGCGGATCCAATATGGCGGACATAAAAATTAAAAATTAACTGAATTCCCTTGAAAATCGATACTCGGGGGTTTTCGGGGTCGTTGATTACGAATCTGAAGTAAGTTTTTAAAAATTCAAAATGGCGGATCCAATATGGCGGACTTGGAGTGGAAAATTAACTGAATTCGCTTGAAAAATGTTACTCGGGGGTTTTCGGGGTCGCTGAATACGAATCTGATGTCAGTTTTCAAAAATTCAAAATAGCGGATCCAATATGGCGGACATGAAAACTAAAAATTGACTGAATTTTTTTGAAAATCGATACTCGGGGGTTTTTGGGGTCGCTGAATACGAATCTGATGTCAGTTTTTTAAAATTTAAAATGGCGGTTCCAATATGGCGGACTTGAAGTTGAAAATTGATTAGATTCGCTTGAAAATTGTTACTCGGGGGTTTTCGGGGACGCTGAATACGAATCTCATGTCACTTTTCGAAAATAATAATTTCATTTTTTTTATCTATCCTGCTCTCAGCGTTACCCAGAACCAACGACGTGGACGTGGCAAGATTTTGGTTCCACCTTGTTTTTTTTATTTATTTATTTTTTTTATTTTTATAAATAAAACAAATGACGATCGTCGCAAAAAAAAGTCAGTAAAACAAATGACGATCGTCAACAATCTTTATGATAGTAAAAAAAGGTATACATTGGATTCAGTTACAAAAACATAAATGCTAACAATTTTGTAAATAACAATACTGCTGAGTGTAAAAAACGTTTATTTTTACAGGTTACTAATCCAAGTGTTGTCAGGTACATGATTTAAAGATAAGCATCTATTATTTCTATTTAAACATTTAAAATTCTGAAATTCTATTTTTATTTTTTTATTCAGCGACCCTGAAAACCCTCGAGTAACGATTTTCAAGCAAATTCAGTCAATTTTTAATTTCATGTCCACCATATTGAATCCGCCATTTTGAATTTTTTAAAACTGACATCAGATTCGTATTCAGCGAACCCTGAAAAACCCCCGGTACCGATTTTCAAGCGAATTCAGTAAATTTTCAACTTCATGTCCACCATATTGGATCGGCCATTTTGAATTTTTAAAAACTAAAGTCAGATTCGTAATCAGCGACCCCGAAAATCCCCGAGTATCAATTTTCAAGAGAATTCAGTTAATTTTTAACTTTTATGTCCGCCATATTGGATCGGCCATTTTGAATTTTTAAAAACTAAAGTCAGATTCGTAATCAGCGACCCCGAAAACCCCCGAGTAACGATTTTCAAGCGAATTCATATGAAATATAATTGTAATATAGTGAAAAACCAAAGGTGGGTCACTGAGCGACCCACTGTGACGCAAAGGGTTAAACAATTGAAAATTTTACATTTAACTAATTTCTCATTGTCTTTAACGTAGAACATTTCCCACTCAAAAGTTTAGACATTTAAATGTTCCATGAATATGGTAGAAATATTTCAAAAACCGAAATTTTTAATTTTAATTTTATTTACGTTTTTGTATGCTTTATTGTCTTTAGAACGTAAATCCAAGCGTTCGTCAACTTGGTCGCTAAATTTTACTAAACATTTATTCTTTTAAGTTTGCTTATTGTCGATAATTATTTCTACTCAACTAAGGTTATTGCAAATAAAAACATTCTATGTATAATAAATACTTATGCTCTTTGAAAACAGATGTACGAGTTGACTGGTCAAAGCGAGGTGGAGACTACTGTCACTTTCTTCTACATAAAACAAATTTAGATACGATAGATGCATTAAATCGAATATCTTCTAATTTAAGAATGAAAGTAAACTGCTTTTCATACGCCGGTACTAAAGATCGTCGAGGGAAAACAACTCAATGGGTCAGCATAAAGAAAGTTGATCCTAATAAAATTCTTCGATCTGTAAGATCTATAAAAGGTTTATTCGTGGGAAATTTTAAATTTGAAGCATCACCATTGAAGTTAGGAATGTTGCTTGGAAATCAGTTCACTATTGTTCTAAGAAATATTGTGGACCCTGTTGAGAAAATTCAAATAGCTATGCTTGCATTGAAAGATCATGGTTTTATTAATTACTACGGTTTACAGAGATTTGGCACTATAGCAAACATTCCTACTCACAATATTGGTAGAACTCTTTTACAAGGTGAGATAATAATTAGTATATAACTAAAAAACAAGTACACACGTGTGATTTAAAAATACAAAAACATCTAAAAATACATTATCTAAACAAATTTAAGCAATTAAAAGTGACATCGAAATTTTGTATTACTGCGCGTTTGAATTAGTTTCTGCGTGTCAATTACTGTGTCGAAAATAATGTATTTAGAGGTTACAATTCCCGCAGTAATTGAAGCTAATGAAAAATAAAAAGATTTTCAATTACCGCGGTAGATAAAATTTGTTCTTAAATAATTAAATTAATAATTGTTCAAACTGTAATGGACTTTTTGGAGAAATTTTACCATTAATAAAAATAAACAAGTTGTAAATTCAGATGTTCATTACATGAACATTTTGCTTCCTCGTGCAGAAACCAAAATTTTATTGCCAAAATGTGAATTTTTGATTTTTTAACTTTCATTAATTCTTTAAATTTACCGCAAATGTAAACTTTATATATATCGATCGATTAGTCTTGACGTAAGGAATATAATTATTTTATATATAAACATCAATTTAAAAAATCACAAAATTGTATTGCCAAAATGTGAATATTTGATTTTTTAACTTTCATTAATTCTTTAAATGTACATCAAATGTATACTTTATATATATATCAATCGATTCGTCTTGACGTAAGGAATACGATTTTATTATATATAACCTTAAATTTTTCTATTTAAAAATTTTTTCGATTAAAAAAAATTTTTGGAAAAAAGACGATAAAATTTTTTTTGGGGTATTTTTTAAAATCCTTTGGTCAGATTTGAGATATTAATATGATAAATGAGCCTACAAAATTTTATCTAAATCCATTAAAACCTGTTAAAGTTATCTTCTAAACAAAAAAGGGATCCACACACACACATACATACATCCGGACAATTGATCAGAATCTCATATAACATGTTTCTATAAAGAAAAAAATTTGTTTCCGCCACTTTGAATAATTTTATAAACGAAAGGACTACAAAGCTTCCTCCACGAAGAAGCAAAAAAATTGCAAAACAAACAAATTAAAAATAATAAATAAAATAATAATTCCTTGAAATCATTTTTAAACAAAAATAAGGTTGTCAAACAAATACACAATAAATATAATAAAAAATTGAAATCAATAATATTGGAATTTTTTAAATTAACAACATTAAATAATATAAATTTATAATATAAATAAAAATATAGCTAAAGTCTTTGGCCCAATACAATGGAGGAAAGTGGAAAAATGGGAAAATAAAATATTATACCTTACTTCGCAAAATAAAATGTTGGGTGCCAGTCCTTCCTTAAGACAAGTTTACAAAATTATACGTATTAAATAATTAAAATTTGATGTGAAAAAGATAAGAAAAAAAAGTAAGATTTAAGAGAGAGAGAGAGAGAGAGGAATTTTTAACAATAAAAGAAAAAGATTATTTTATATACAAATAAAATATTTAAATTAATCACAATAAAAGGGGCAGGTAACTATAACAAAAGGGTCAGGTGACTGTAATGAAGAGTCAGGTAGCTATAAAAATAGGGAATTGGTAGCTATAACAAAAAGGAACAGGAACATTGTATAAAGTGGCTGAACCACGTGTAAAATTATAATATTAACTAGCAACTTTGGTTGCTACTTTGCATTCTTCATGTCCATTATTTTATTGTTTTAATGTTGTTTTTTTTGCTTCTTCGTGGAGTAAGCTATAGTTCTTTCAATTGAAAAATGTTTGAAAATGCACAAATAAATTTTTTTTTGTTTAGAAATATCATACTTAAGTAGGGGAGGATGGGGTAAGGATAGTTAGGCAGTTAGGTAGATAGTTAGATCTAGCAGCTAAAATTCAATAGGCATCGGAAAAAGAATAGTATCGTTCGAAAGCCTGTTTATTTAGCTACAATTTTGTAATACATTATTTTGCTGTGGATTGCAATGCCTTCGAGATATTAGCGGAAAATTAAAAAAAAATTTAACTATCCTTGCCCCACTATTGGGGCAAGGATTCAAAATCAAAAAAGGATCAAAAGGATCAAAATTATTTTTATGAAAAATAATCAAAACAAGTTGTAAATTCAGATGTTCATTACATGAACATTTTGCTTCCTCTTTACGATCAGCAAAAAAATTTGCTTCCTCGTGGAGAAAGCAAAATTGTATTGCCAAAATGTGAATTTTTGATTTTTTAACTTTCATTAATTCTTTAAATTTACCTCAAATATATACTTTATATATATCGATCGATTCGTCTTGACGTAAGGAATACAATTATTTCATATATAAACTTCAATTTAAAAAATCACAAAATTTTATAGCCAAAATGTGAATTTTTGATTTTTTAACTTTCATTAATTCTTTAAATTTACCTCAAATGTATACTTTATATACATCAATCGATTCGTCTTGACGTAAGGAATACGATTTTATTATATATAACCTTAAATTTTTCTATTTAAAAATTTTTTCAATTAAAAAAAATTTTTTGGAAAAAATACGATAAAATTTTTTTTTTTGGGGTATTTTTCAAAATCCTTTGGTCAGATTTGAGATAATAATATGATAAATGAGCCTACCAAATTTTATCTAAATCTATTGAAACCTGTTAAAGTTATCTTCTAAACAAAAAAGGGATCCACACACACACACACTTACATACATCCGGACAATTGATCAGGATCTCATATAACATGTTTCTATAAAGAAAAAAATTTGTTTCCAGCACTTTGAAAGGTTTTATAAACGAAAGGATTACAAAGCTTCCTCCACGAGGAAGCAAAATACATTAAATTTAGGGTTTTTTTAATTGCATTGAATAAAAGCACCTCAAAACACTTCAAAGCACTACCAAAAAAATTTTTTGGACATAAATAAATATTTAAAACAGTTAATATCTGAAACAGTGTTTTAAACAGAACTGAGACATTTTAGAAAAAACAGGATTTTCACAAATAAACACGTAGCTTCCACAAATGATATCGCATCAAAATCAAATTTTTCTATAGACGTCTTTTGGTGTTAAAACAAGAATATATGATGACTAGTGCCATTTTTGAACAAGCCGTATAGGCAATAGAACCACTGACTATCATTGCCCCTATGACACTTATAATTGCACAAATGATTTTTCTGCTTGCAACTACATCTTTTCATATCACAATTGCCTTTGCAAAAGCATCTTTTAAATCCTTGACCGCCAGTAAAGGATTGCAAAGTATGACACTTATAATTGCACAAATGATTTTTCTGCTTGCAACTACATCTTTTCATGTCACAATTGCCTTTGCAAAAGCATCTTTTAAATCCTTGACCGCCAGTAAAGGATTGCAAAGATTTTATAATATTCGTAACTTCAGTAGGGAACAAAAATTTGTACCTGAAAATAGTAAATTGATTTCTACTGTAGTTTTTTTAGGCTTCATCCTTGGTTCCCAATGAATTTCTATTTTTATTTACAAATTTACATTATTACAATTAATATTTCTATTTTCATTTTTAATTTTATCTCTATTTCCTTATTAAAATTTATATTATTCAATTACTTATAGAAGAAATTAACTTATTATAATACATTATATATATTAAATAAAAATATAATTAATTGATCATATTATATTAATTATACATATATATATTATACATATATGATTAATAATAATTAATAATGTAATGCATTACATTACTACATTTTATAATAATAAAAAATTAATGAATAAAATAAGCATATTTTCTATTTTGACATTTACCAACCAAGGCTGGTCAATGTTCCTTAAATGCCCGATTTCTCACTTTTACCAAAAAGCCCGGTCAATGTGCAGACTAATTTAGTAAAAATGATTAGATATTCTTAAAACTAGCAACTCGTGGGTTTTTCGGATTGCTGATTAAAAATCCAATACAACTTTTCCGAAATTTATAATATCGAAACTAATATGTTGGAGAAAATTTGTAACTATTTACTGTTTATTATTGGTAAAAAATATAGCGAAAATCAATTGCTATTTATTTCTGAATATCATTCTTATATTCCTATTATAGACTGCACATTTCGTGTGCATGTTTTAAGAACTGCATTTACATGACCCAAACATTTCAGCAGAAATTTTAAAATCAAGTAACCACAATCATTTTTAAATAATTATAACACAGGCACAGAAAAAAAAGTTAGGTCCCTAAAAACACAACCCCATATTCCTATCTTTTTGGGGTCGTTGAAACCGAATATGACCATGAAAAATTTGTTTGCCGACCCATTTTCCCGCAACCACCCCCTTGCACCTACTCACGGGGGTTGGAGTTTCAAATTAAAAAAAGAATCGAGAAAGGGTGTCTATTCCAATGTTTTTTGGGTCACTTAATCCGAAAAACGCCACCAAAAACAAGTCCTTTCCTCCCATAATCCTCTACAACCCCCTGAGAAGGGGTTGGAATTTCAGTTTTTACAAAAAGTCGAGTACGGTATCTATTCCTATGTTTTTTTGGTCGCTGAAATAAAAAAACACCACCAAAAACAAATTCTTAACCCCCTACAACCCCTGGGAGAAGGTTGGAATTTCTTTTTTCACGGCGCTAAGTGTAGAAAAATAAATTTCCATATGACTTTGTAGGTGCGTATTTGTGTAATCATAGGTAACTTTCTAGAAAACTTTATTTTTGGTGATGTTTTTTGGTTTCAGCGACCCAAAAAACATAGGATTAGACACCGTACTCGACTTTTCATGAAAAATGAAATTCCAACCTTCTCCCAGGAGTTGTAGGGAGTTAAGGGGGTAAAGAATTTGTTTTTGGTGGTGTTTTTTGATTTCAGCGACCAAAAAAATTTTTAAAAAAAATTCAACCCCCTCCCTCTTCGACAGTTTTTAAAAAAACCGAACAATACTTCGTGGTTAAATTACTCACCCCTAGGCTGTTATTATGTACATGTTTCAGCCCGATCCAATCAACTTTTTTTTTCACTTAGTTCGCTACAGGAATTTTATTCCGTATACATTTTAAAATAAATTTTAATTATATGCGTACTTACTTATCTTTTATCCTCGTCGCCAATATACAGGGTGTTCCAAAAGTATGGAAACTTGCAAATATCTCGAAAAGTACGAATTTTTGTAAAAAATGTTTAAGACAAAAGTTATTCCAAACAAAAAGATGTACATCTTTGAAACCAAAAAATTGTGCCCGGAGCCCAATGTTGGCCCTACAATGAAAAAAGTGGTTTTCTTAAATGAGACCACTAATTTTCAGTATCAAATTCGTAATCCCCATGAAATTCTGGGTTCAGACATGTGGTATAAGTGCCCAAAATATTGGGCCCAATCCAAGATATTGGGTCCAAAATTTATAGACAGATAAATAAATTTTAAAAAATCGCATCTTGGAGGGATTTTGAGATCACAGGATTAGAAATTGGAAGCTAATTTTCAAATTGAGCATAGAGCCCAATGTAAGATTCTGCCGCCCAATGTGAGGTCCCAATATTTTTGGAATTTGTACCACAAGTCTAAGCCCAGAATTTCAGAACGATTACAAAATGGAAGGTCATCGAATGATCAGGGGCAAAACGGAATTATCAGGGGTGCTATTCTCGAAATGAGTTCCGTGCACGAATCGAAGACTTTCGAATAACTTTGTCGAAAACTGTATTCTTGAACTGTTCACTAGGCGTTCATAGACGAAACGATTCGAGTGAAATGCAACGAGTGGTCTTAACCACTCGAAGCAACAGTTTCGTGTTCGAATTTTGGTACTGCTCATGCGCAGTAGTATTATTTAATAATATTATGTACACATATTAAAAGGGATTCAAAGTTTCGAATTGTAATCAATTATAGAGTTTCATTCATAATAATAATAATAATAATAATCATTCATAATAATAATAATAATAATAATAATAATAAGAATAAGAATAATAATAATAATAATGATGATGATGCAGTCAATAAATATTTCTTATATCATAAGTAATTTAATTGGTTCAAAAAAATTACACTGGAAAGTCACTAGAAATAAACGACGGCAACACTGTACAACCTATTCGTCTACGAACGATCGTCGAACGAAGTTTCGAATGGTGCTCGAGAATACGGTTGTTGCTTCGTGCACGAAACTTACGCATCGAATTTGCTCGCATACGAACAATATTCGAATGATTTCGAGAATAGGACCCCTGGCCGCTTCGCAACCCAACTCGAAGGATGATCAACGAGCCAAGGGGCCGTAGCAAGTTGACAACACGACCTCCAAGAAGGAGGGCACCACCTGACGGTGCATGAAACCACGCTGGTCGGCGAACGAAGCATAAATTTTCGCTTGTCCATGTTCGAGTCACGGTAACCAACTAGGATTCGGAATTTCACGGTGTGACAAAAAGTATTGGAGAGTTCAATGGAGTACAAGAAACTCCACCAACGTCTCCGAGTTTAGTGGCGAGTATATCTATCCACCTGGTCCAGGTCAGCCTTACAGGTTGTGGATATTGTGGCCTGAAACTCGAGGTCGGCGTGAGGACCGCATGGCTGTCACACATTGTGATCGCGCAGTCAAAATCATTAGAAGCGTGGATTCTCGACCAGCATTTTTGTTTGTTTATAATAAATAAATTCGAGAAGTGTTTGCCGTAATTTCCGAATTTATTATTTTATTATCTTTGTGCATGTGTGTCGGTGGATATTTCTCTTTACCTTTACCTAAGGAAGTCAAGGTCGCAGTCAAGCTAGTCTGCGGACCATGTGGGAAAACCGAAATCCAGGTAGATTCTGCTACCTAGCGCCAGGGAAGCACCCTAAAATAAATAAACGGATCCTCGGGGGTTGCTGGGAAGTTCAAAGAGTGAAACTTTCCAGTCCAAATTTGTTCCCGACATCGTCGCCATTTTTATAACGTGATTCACACGGAATTTTCCACGATTTGCCGAAGAGCGGAAAAATCTGGGAAAATTTCCATAAGAAAATAGAAAACCCGTTATTGGGATCTGACATGGGGGCGGGGCCTAAAGCAATATGGCGTAAATTGGGTAACACTTTTAGTGAATTTACATGGGAATAACATGGGATGCAATAGAACAAAATCGTTTGAAAAATATTGCTTAATTTAATAAATGTATAAGTGAATTTTTTTAATACAAAATTACTATTTAAATTCCTATTTACAAACATGATTAAAAATATAAAAGAAATCTTATTTTTATACAAATGATTTTCTCAAATCCAGCGATACATGTGCAAGAAAAGTATTGTATTTTCCTTTATATTTCATGTAATTATATGAAAATTTATAAATGTATATATTTCATTTTTCATTGTAAAAGTCTGTTAACAAGAAGTGAAAAAAAAATTTATTTATCCGTTTTTACAGTGATAAATTAACTTTCAAAATGTTCACATGCACGGGTAATATGAAAGATTATATAACCTCCAAATTTTAAAATCTTAAACTTACCTGGCAAAATGTAATCACTTCTTTTGAAATGCAGAGAACATACTCTCATAGAAGGCTTTATACTGTTTATTTTTAAAGCATTTTTCCAGGCCTTTAATTGATCGACTTTCAAAATTATCGAACGTATTTTTCACATCCACTACTCGTTGTTTTGGTTTCGGAAATTTATGGAAAATTACGCTTAAATTTTTCGCTACAGTACTGCCACAGCCTCTCACAGAACACTTAATTCTGCAGGAAGATTTCTCACGCGGTAAAAAATGTAGCTTCATTCATAATGATAAAATAATTAACAATGACAGCGGAACTACAATTGCAAGTGACACAAACAGTTATCCAAAACTAGTTACATTTTTCAACACCAGATGGCATGTGTACGAATGTCAGATCCCAATAGCCGCTACGTAGCTGCTTCTCTACTCGGAGCGAACTCCCCTCTTTACCTGTAGCTCAGAGGTTACATCGAATTTCCCCCTAATAATTTGTTCAGCTTACTATTACATACATTAACTAACTACTTAGGCAAATCGATTTTTTTTGAACCTTTTAATGTGGTTTCCCCATAAAGGGTTACATACGAATTTTTAAAAACTATTTGTTTTTATTCTCTTAAAAAATCTTTTAAAATTTCTACAATAGAAAAAAAATATTTGGTACCCGTTAAACATCTTTTAATTAAAATTCCGTTCTTTTTAATAATCACGTCACAATAAAGAGTCTCTAGGGTTAAGATGGGTAAAATGCCCTAATGTCTGGATTTTTGAATTGACCCTGTACATGGGTATTTTAGGGTACTAAAATAAGGTAACTAGGGTCGATATCCGAAAAAAAACCCTGCCCCCCCCTATGGTGGTTGAAAAATGCGTTTTTTCGAAAATATTTTTTTTCTGGTTTATGAGTTGATGAAAAATTCTGAAAAAATTCATGAAGCTAGTGTTTGAGATGTACTTTGAACATATTTTTTTGGGCTCCCCACACTGTTTTTATTGTTTAAAAAATTTCCAAAATCTTAAAAATAATTTTTTTTCTAACTTTTCTGAGTTGGGCACAAAAAATTTTTTTTGTCATTTTTTAGAGGGTACTAAAATCTATCTTCATGAATTTTTTCAGATTTTTTTGTAATGTGCGCCACCCCCAAAAATTGAATTTTCTGAATTTTCATCCGTTTTTACCATTTTTGTCCTTTCAAGGCCAAATTCACAGTCCGTAAGGTGTAGGATTTAAATATTTTCGCGAAAATTATTAGCTACCCAAGAAGCACGTAATATAACCTCAATATCAAGGTAATATTACATGTAAGATTCGTAATATAACGTTGTAATATTGCAGTAATCTTACAGTAATCTTAAAATGTCCGCCTCAAGGTAATATTACCGGTAATGTTACTGTAATATTACGCGCTAATATTAAGGTAATATTACAGTAATATTGCAGTAGTATTATACCGTAATATTAAGGTAATATTACAAGAGAATATTACAGTAATATTATGGGAACATTTCTTTACGAAAAACATCTACCCATCCAGGGAATCGAACCCCGAACTCAAAGCACACGAGTCCAGAGTTTTACCAACAAGCCAAATTGACTTATAATATATTTATGTTTTTTATGCTTTATGAATAACTCAAATCAGTCTGTAATATTACTGTAATATTACTGTAATATTACCGTTAGTATTACAGTAATATTCCCGGTAATATTACCTTGAGGCGGGCATTTTAAGATCACTGTAAGATTACTGTAATATTACAGCGTTATATTACGAATCTCACGTGTAATATTACCTTGATATTGAGGATATATTACGTGCTTCTTGGGTATTCTATTTATATAACCACTCTTGATTTGTGGAATTTTAAAAAAATTAAGAAAGAACTGTGTTTTAAGGCATAGAAATATCGAAAAATCGTCACTTTTACTTGTTTTAACTACTTCTTCTACTTAAGAGTATTAATATTTGACTTTTGTAATGAATTTTCGTGTTTTCATAGGATAGAAAATTTATAATCTTTCATGCATAGAAATTTGAACACAAACATGAGATAAAACTAAGAGAAATCTATAAGTATAAAAAAAGACAACAGTTTTTGATCTCTTTTTTCAGTTTTAAACCTTAAAAAATTAAAATTACTTATTTAAAAATTGTAAGACAATGTTCATAAAAATTATATCTATCTTTAACTATTCTGAAGTTGAATAATTAACCAAATTTTTGCAAAGGTAAATATTAAGGAATAAATAATTTGACCATTAAAGAAGCAATTATTCAAAATGTATTTATTAAGAATTAATTTAAAAAATTTAAATATTAATTTATAGATAGAACAAATATTCTGATTAAATAAATAGAGAAAATTGAAAAGAATACAGTTCTGCAAAATTTATATATTGTAGTTGAATTTCTTATCGCAGTAGAGTAATGACACTAAATCTCTGTTACCGTTTCTAATCTTCATCGCTATCATCGTTTATTTTTGGGCAGACGTTATCGATGTCAAGGAGATTAGTTAGCACTTCAGCTGGTCTAAAAACTTTCGACAAAAATCGTCCATATGATAAATGATAAATCAGAGCGTGCGACGTGAGAACAACATCCAACTGTTCTTAAACCATTGGCGCAGTTGCAACAATGACCTTTTATAGCATCAATCCCGATCTCATTAGCATTATATTTGATGTAACACTTATAAGTTTTTCTGTTCATATGACGCGATTTTACTTCGAATTTAACTATTTCAGGTTCGTCTTTCAAAAAACTCAATTTCAGCGAGTTATCTTCTTCAACCATTTCTCCTAAATATGAAATTGCTTGTGACAATTGATAAGATCTACCAAAATAAATCTTTAAATCATCAGTTGTTATCTCTGGAAAATCTAATAAATCTCGTGAAGATAGCACTTGAAACGAGACAGATTTTCTATTCAAATTTTCATTATAAACTTTCTCGGCCAAGCTGTTAGTTGTGTTTCTGTTCGATTTCATTCTCGCAATTATATCGCTTAATTTTTCCGAATCGCAATTAAGGCGTTTTCCAAATAAATTATAAAGAAGATTAGCTACTTTGCAATAAGTGCCGGCATCTGGTAACAACCGATTATTGAATTGATGGTGAAGGAGCTTATACTTTTGTGCAATTATGCCATGCACAACCTCTACTACCCAAAGAATTTTTGTCACAAATCGTAAAAAATTGGATTCTTCCGTTGTCAATTGATTGCGATTGCCTTTCAAAGCAGGCATTAATACTTTATAACCTCTTTCTTCCAATTTCGACACTACATCTCTGAATCCTCTGTCCAATACGAAAATGTCACCTTTTTTCAAGATGGTTGAAATTCCATGAGGATCGTTCAACATGTGTTCTAGAATTTTAGCGTCGTTAAGGTTACCTTCAAAAGGACTTCGAAGTTCAATTACAAAACCATTTGTAGTACAGATTGTAAACGGCTTACACAACGGACATTTTTTTGCCCGGAGTACGAGAGCCTTTGATAAATGTTGTTTGAACTTTTCTGATGTCTTAAATATGTACCGTCACAAATACACACCAATAAATCGTCGTCTAAATCGTGCAACATTTTCACGACTTCGACAGTCTGACTCAAATAAAATTCTCTGGTTTTGGCATCAACTCCAAAATATTTTGGGAGCACGTGTTCTCGAAAACATTTTAGGGCAGAATGTATAGAATCGCGTACAATTTCTTCCTGTATATCTAAAATAACAGCAATTAAAGCGTCGGAATTTCCAGATCGTAGTTTAAATAGAAAAATTACAATTGCTTGCATAATATTTCGATTAGATGACGTTCTCATATGTCCTTTTAACATATTTTGAAGCACGGATACATCGTCCCAAGTGTGACCAGTAAGAACCTTCAAACGTTCTTCAGATATTGCGTATTCACCAATTTTATGGTGGAATCGAGCATCTACTTTATTTGATAATTGGTTTATGAATTTTTTAAATTCGTCAACATCGATTTCGGACTCTGTGGAAACGACTAACATATTCGAAAATTCTTCCTCATAAAATCTCTTCTTAATAATGTGTTCAGAACAACATCGATTTCGTTTAGGAATGAATAAATTCATTTTTTCAAAAACTTGCAGACGAGCTTCAAATGGCACGTCGATGATACCTTCCGTTTTTTTACAAATGAAACAGCAGGCCTTCGTAGCGCACACTCTATTAATTGGTAAAACCAAAGTCTCGTCTGTTTTATGAATCTGATCAGAAATAGTATATTCAGAATACTGAATATAAGGTGTGCCAGTCGACTGGCTGCTTGTAGATACAATTTCACTGGTCTGACTTTCAGGTGTAATTAATGACTGGGTTTTTGACGATAAAGTATCAACGTTCTAATTTCTAGTTTTTAAAAGATCCTGTGCAGCTTCCGTGAAAGAAGAATTTGAAAAAATTTCTGAAGTATTTTTATGATCATCTTCTCCACTGATTAAACTAAAAACGTTAGAAGTGCTTGCTATTTCCATCTGCTCTGATTCCAATTTATTTTGTTTACTTTTTCCACGTCCTTAACCACTATAAAACGACTGACAAAGAGCGTCATCCGCCTCTACATGACAGTTATAATTTTTAGAGAAGTTGGCAGCTTCTTGTCGTGAACTGAAATGTTTTGCTTTAGATATCGCTGTTCTACGAAGTAAAAAATTACATTTACAGCACCTTAAATCATTTGTTTTCTTCTTTTTTGTCGGCGGTTGCTCGATATTGTCAGACATCGTATAAATCTGTAATAAAAAAAAAGTTGTTAAGCTTTTCATTCTCATTAGAAACGCTGAACAAAGTGTAAAGTTAAATGAATTTTTAGAAAATGAATTAATGAATTGGGTATTGATTAAGAATTTTAAAGAATAAAAGATTGTTTATTAAAATTCATAAGCTCAATTTGGAAAATTTTTTAATTTCATAGTTCTTTATCACTTCCCCAAATCCTTTAAAACCCAACAAAATGTTTTATTTGTATTTTAATTTGTTATTTGTTCATTTAATTAAATAGTTACAATAAAAGCCTTATAATTGTTTGATAGATTTTTTTTTAATATTTCAGAGTTAATAAAAAAATAATTATAGTAATAGCACCCAATTTTTAATGTGAATAAAAAACAATAAAAAATTTTTTTAAATATATGGGGTTATAGTCAAAAAGCAAAAAAGATTTATTTTAATATTTTATTTACAAGAAACTGATTTTAAAGTATGAAACAAATACATATTTTTGACTTTAAATATTTTTATTCCATTATTCCTTTATTTCAAACTCATAGAAAGAATCTCATGAAATAAAATTATCAGGTATATGCAAAAAATAAACTTTAAATAAATGTTGACAGAGAAAAGAAGTCGTCTGAAACCTTATTATTATTTTAAGTGTTTTCTGAGATTATTTTTCAAAAATTTATAGAATTAAGAAAGCTTTTACTTCTAAATAATACAATAATTATACACAATTACCCAGATAGCAATAGTGAGTTCAAATTGACAGCAAAAGTAACTCATGTCGTGCGAGTTACCCTCACTTGGTGAATGCACATAAGCAGGCAGATGTGTCCTCCATGGAGGTACATACGCCTCGCATTTTATGCGACTTCACGAAAGTGCGCGCAAAATGAGGGCATCAAAAAAGCGCACACACGTTCAGACAGACAGACAAAGATAGACATTTGAATGATACTCCTGTTAAATCTTTTCTAAAAATGCGCAGTAGAGTAGATTGCACTTTAGACATGCACAGTGAGATCAATTAAAGTTTTCACATGCGCAGTAGACTCTGTTGATTTTTGGAGTTGCGCATTGGGGCTAAGTGCACTTAATACATGCGCAGTGGGGTTAAATGCACTTTAGACATGCGCAGTAGGGTCAATTGAACTTTTCACATGCGCAGTAGGGTAGAGTGCACTTTAGACATGCGCAGTAAGGTCAATTAAAGTTGTCACATGCGTCGTAGAATCCGTTATCTTTAAAGTTGCGCAGTGGGCTTAAATGCACTTTAGACATGCGCAGTAGGGTCAATTGAACTTTTCACATGTGCAGTAGGGTAGAGTGCACTTTAGACTTGCGCAGTAAGGTCAATTAAAGTTGTCACATGCGCAGTAGAATCTATTGATATTTAGAGTTGTGCAGTAGAGTTAATTGAATTTTTTACATGCGCAGTAGTGCTGAGTGCACTTGAGACATGTGCAGTAAAATCTGTTGATCTTTAAACTTGCGCAGCAGGGTTAAATGCACTTTAGACATGCGCAGTAGGATAAATTGAATTTTTCACATGCGCAGTAGGGTTGATATGTGAAAAGTTTAATTAACCCTACTGCGCAAGTCCAAATATCAATGGACTCTACTGTGCTTGTGAAAAGGTAATTGGACCTGAACAAAATAATAAGATAGTGGACGACACTCTTTAATAAAATAAAAAATATTTAAAATACTATTTAAGTAACATGATATTTATTAATATTATAAATTGTAATGTTTAGATTTAATGAATAAAAAAAGTTGTACTTATTGTTTCACAACAAATTAAAGTGTTGATCCACTGACTGCACAATCTATACTGACGCTGACACTTGACAGACTAACGCTCACTCCACATACATTACAGCACGCACGAAATGCATCTATAAAGCAGCACTCACATGAATGTAATAAAGGTACTTTTATGCGTGCACGAAAATGCGACACACGTTATGAGAGATACAAGCGACTTAAGAGCACGTAACTGCCGGCATTACATGTACACATGTGAACTCTCAAATGTGACACCAATATGCGAATTCAATGCACGCAATTAAGGTGCATTAATTCAGACATAAAATGCGACGCCTGACATGCGACTAACGTGTGACGCATAAATGTTATATGGGTACCCAGCAAACACTGTTATATATCTGTTCTAGAACTGTTACAAATTTCTTGAGAACATGTTCTGTAACTGGTTAAGAACGTGTGAGTCACTGGTTACGCAAAACGTCGTACTCAGCAGGTATGTTCAGATATGTAACAAATCTAGAACGCGGTTACAAAGTCATTTGTAACAGTTCTAGAACTGTGTTGTAACAACTATGAAAAGTGGTATGTAACCAGTAAGGAACAGAGTTCTGTATTTGTTACATAACTAAATTACGTAACAGGGATAAAAAAATATTATATATTATGTGTTACGTAAACGTATCACAGTGTAGGAACAAAAATCTATATTTGTGACATAACATTGTTTCAGTATGAATATGTATCATAGTTCTTTAAATGAGTAGAACAGTAACACAGAAAATTAAAAGGTATTAAAATAAGCTGCAACGCTTCTTATTTTAATCCATTTTTACTTATTTTAAAACCAAAATGAATTAAAATAAGAAAAATTTGATTAAAATAAGAAGCGTTGCAGCTTATTTTAATACCTTTTAGTTTTCTGTGAATGTAACAACGATCTAGTGTTGTTATACATGTTGTCCCGAAATTTCCAAGATATTTGGGTATTTTGTAACGATCTTATTTTTGAGAAAAAAAAACTTAAATGAAAGATTGTTCAGAATAACAAAATCAAATTGCACATTTTAACATATTTTGTTATTCTGAACAAATTTTTTAATTTTTTTGTCAAAAAGGCTATTATTACGAGATATCCAGACATCCCTAAAATTTTAGGACACCCTGTACTATTGTGGTGCATAATAAAGTTGTTATTAAATTATATAATTTATATTTAACACATTCTTATGTCATTAAAAAATTAAATGTAAATTTTGATATGAAGTAAATTCGATCAATGGAAGGTAAAGAAAAACACATAAAACAGATTTATGTTATTTTGTCAAGTTGCGACGTTTCGATGGTTTGGTTTACCATCTTCTTCAGGCTAATTTATTAAATAAAACACCAAATTAATAATTACACAAAATTGAACACACAAATTAAAACACTAAATAATAATAATACCTGAATATTCAAAATAATACTACATTGCAACTAGTCAATGTTAGAATCCATTTTTAAATTATCGTTAAAGATTAAAAAATAAAACACTACAAAAATTAGATACGCGACAATTTTCGTCATTTCGATGCGAGCATCAAGTCAAAACTGAATTAAAATTAGTTTTTGGAAGAATACCACACGTGTTAAAAAAGGAAGTCAATGAACTCATAGGTAAATAGTGAATAGAGGAAAAGACCTTCAAGATTCTATTATGAATTTAATTTTCTAATAAGAGGGAAATACGTTTTATTAAGAAAACAAATATCTTCTTTCTTATTAATTGTAGAATCGTTACTTAAAATATGAATCATTTCGGAAATAGAGCGTTTTTTATAATTTTTTTCACGATCAAGTATAATAGTATTCTTCCAATCGAAGTCATGATCAAAATTTAGTTGATGTGCACGAACCACAGATTTATCGTTTTTATTATTTTTATGTTCATTGATACGTGTATTCAATGGAATTTCTCATTCATATTTAAAATTAAATGTAAATGTTTATATCGAGTTAATTTGATTTGACATACTGCTTTTTTCTTACAAATGTATGTACAAATGCTTTATGCTTGTTAATATAATAGAATTTTATTACTATTGTTACTCACAAAGTTAATATTCAAATAACTATATATCAAATACACAAAACATGTCTTATTATGAAATTAATAATTATTTTTTATTACAAATTTACATCAGGGCGAAATATATTGTGTTATAGAACTGTGACGTAACATAGTTACAGAATTGTTCCATTTTGTAATAACAAATGTTTTCTAGAACTTAACTGCAACAAAATTTCAGAACAGATACATAACATTCTTCTAGCACAGTTCTAGAACTACCTTGGAACGTCAGTTACAGATAATTTGTGATTGTCGTGTTATAGACATGTTACATAACATTGTTATTGAACTGTGACGTTATCATAATATAGAACAGTTCTGTCATTCTTTTGTAACAATGTTCTAGAATTCAGTGACAATGAGGTTATATAACAGATTCGTAACCAACTTGTAACAACTGTTCTGTAAAACTGTGACATCACTGTTATAGAACATTTATAGAACGTGTTTGCTGGGTACTTACCAATAAAGCACAATGAAGTTTTGTTTACATAAACATCAAGTATATTTACACGTAAAGTTTTAGAGAGTGAAGTCAGCTCCAACAGCATCGATTAATGAGTCTATTAATCGATACAACTTATGTCCGTATTTCGCGCGTTTTCTAAAATATCCAACCTGTTCGTACAGTTTTTAAACAACACAATTTGTAATAAAAACTTAAAATTTTAAAAACTTTTCGACTTCACGGAATTTTTGAGGCCAATTTCATATAATTTTTGGAAAAAGACAAAAATGTAAAAACGGTTATTTTTTGGTATTATACTTTTTTCTGTTTAAGATTGTGCCCTGGCGGATTGGGAAAACCGAGTAGTAACCGAATTGGGTTACGATTCGGTTTCGTTTCGGTTCATTGTGAAATATTATCGTTAATCGACGAAATATGTAGTAAATAACTATTAGGAATGGTTAATATACATTTAGAGTGCTTATTTCTGCAATAATAATAATAAATTAAGATATTATTAATTAATAATAAGTGTTTTAAGTGTACAGTGCATACAGTTGTTGAATTATCATATATATATATTTACTTACACATTTGATACTCAAGAGCTTAATTTTAGAAATTCATTCACAAAGTCATCCTTAACGCCATCTAGGGTTTAACGCGCGTATCACAGCTGCCGTTGATGGTAATATACATATATATGGTAATTCAACAACTGTATGCACTGTACACTTAAAACACTTATTATTAATTAATTATATCTTAATTTATTATTATTATTGCATAAATAAGCACTCTAAATGTATATTAACCATTCCTAATAGTTATTTACTACATATTTCGTCGATTAACGATAATATTTCACAATGAACCGAAACGAAACCCAATTCGGTTACAACTCGGTTTTCCCAATCCGCCAGGGTGTATCTACATATACACTTAAAATGCATGTTTTGTATAAATGGGAAAAAGAGTATTAAAAATGAAACATATCAAATCTTATGTGCCAAAAAAACAATACAACTAAAAGAAAATAACATTTTCTGAAATTTCTATGCCTTAAAACTCAGTTCTTTTTTTCTTAACTTTTAAACTTCCAGAAATCAAGAGTGGTTATACTTATAAAGAGAAAAACTAATAATTTTCGCGAAAATATTTAAATCCTACACTTTACGGACTGTGAATTTGGCCTTGAAAGGCTAAAAATGGTAAAAACGGATAAAAATTCAGAAAATTCAATTTTTGGGGGTGGCGCACATTACAAAAAAATCTGAAAAAATTCATGAAGATAGATTTTAGTACCCTCTAAAAAATAACAAAAAAATTTTTTGTGCCCAACTCAGAAAAGTTAGAAAAAAAACTATTTTTAAGATTTTGAAATTTTTTTAAACAATAAAAACAGAGTGTGGGGAGCCCAAAAAAAATATGTTCAAAGAACATCTCAAACACTAGCTTCATGAATTTTTTCAAAATTTTTCATCAACTCATAAACCAGAAAAAAAATATTTTCGAAAAAACGCATTTTTCGACCACCATAGGGGGGTGGGCAGGGGGGTTTTTCGGATATCGACCCTAGTTACCTTATTTTAGTACCCTAAAATACCCATGTACCGAGTCAATTCAAAAATCCAGACATTAGGGCATTTTACCCATCTTAACCCTGGAGACTCTTTGATTCGAGAAAATATTTCCCGCATTCGACAAGTTCCCACCATTACTACCTAATACTGTCATGGCTGATTCTGAATTTATAGAAGCTTATGTCTGTTACAGTAAGCTTACATGACAAGAACAAAAAATTAATAAATTAGTTTAAACAATATTTATGCGCAGTAGATTCCATTTAAGGATGCGCATTAAATTTTATTAAGACAAATCCTGTCACGGTCTATTACCTGTATAAGAAAACACATAATTTATTGTACAAAAAATTTATAATATATTTTATAATTAATTATATGTATGCTTATAATAAGATAGTAAACTTACTTTAAACTTTCATTGTAAACTTACATGGCAACCTTACTGTAGGCTTGCAACGACTTTACAATGTATGTTTACAGTGACCTTTCCATGTAAGCTTGCAGTGGGCTTACCTTGTAAGGTTACTGTAGCCTTACTGTGTAGGGTCACTATATGGCGGACATTTTAAGTTTACCTTAATCTTACTGTAAGTTGACATTGTACTCTTATAAAACTTACATTTAAGTCTGCTGTAAAATTGTAGTTAATTGTTGTGCTGTGTGGGTTACCTTTCTTTCTCTGTGAAATCATTATGTGTCACAAATCTTACGCATTAATTACTCATGAAATATCACAAACATTCAAAACTTAAAAACGTTCTTATTAACAATGATTTTTTGTTATTGACTTAGGTAACTGGCAAGAAGCTATAAATTTAATCTTAAAGCCTAGAGATTCTGAGCGAGACAAATGTCTAGCAGAAGCTAGACAAATTTATAAACAAACTGGAGATGCAATAGCAGCGTACAATGTACTCAATAGAACCGATACAATTGAAGCACAGATTCTTTGTGCTTTGAAATTACATGGTAATCATGACATCCAAGCAGTGTTAAATGCTATTCCTAAAAATGTAATCCTTATGTATCTTCATGCATATCAAAGCTTTGTGTGGAATAACGTAGTTTCAAGAAGATTTAAAGAATACGGTAGAAATCCAATTGCGGGTGATTTAGTTTTCCAAAGTAGTAATAATCAAGAAATTAATGAGATTACATCTATAAATAAATCTGAATCACTCGAATTGAATTGTAATGAAGATAATGAATTGACATGTAACTTACAGAAAGTTAAAATTTTGAAGGAAGAAGATTTAGCTAATTATAAAATAGAGGATATTGTCATGCCACAACCTGGCTGGAGGGTTACATATCCAACTTATGCTGTTTCCTGGTATGAGGAATTTCTTCATGAAGACGGACTTACAAAAGATCTTAAACAAAAAAACAAGTAAGTTTACGTAAAAAATTCCTAATTGGGTGCTTTATTTAAGGAATATCACATGTTTCTAATTTTTCGCTGAAAAAAATGGTGCCAAGAAATTCAACTACTGTTGGGTAATTGACTAGAAAGTAGTTAAAATAATTACTTTTTTAGTTAGTCTAAGCATGTTTATGTAGTTAATACTACTATTCACTAGATATATGAAAAGTAGTAAAAGGAATTATTTTCTTTAATTGATATAACTGCATTTTCAGTAGTAAATTTTTTTATTGATTTCTGTGATTTTATAGGCTTCAATAAAATTCTTTTTGTAGACTTAACATGTCGTTTGTAATTTAAAATACTATATACTTTAACTAGTAGATTTTTACTATTTTAATTAATTTGATTTGAAGAACATTTTTGATGTAGAATTTACAAATTGTTTTTAGTTAAAACTACTACTTTAAGTAGTAGATTTTACTACCATAAATAATTTAATAGGCATTAAGAAAACTTTTGTTGTAGAATTAACAAAACGGTGTGATTAAAACTACAACTGCTCTGTTGGATTGTGAAAACCGAGAAGTTGATTCGGTCAAGTTTTGGTTCGGTTGGGTTTGAGATAATATATTGCAAATAATAATTTAAATATTGGGAAATTTACTATTCGGAAGTATAAACCCAAGAAGCACGTAATATAACCTCAATATCAAGGTAATATTACATGTAAGATTCGTAATATAACGTTGTAATATTACAGAAATCTTACAGTGATCTTAAAATGTCCGCCTCAAGGTAATATTACCGGTAATGTTACTGTAATATTACGCGCTAATATTAAGGTAATATTACAGTAACATTGCAGTAATATTATACCATAATATTAAGGTAATATTACAAAAGAATATTACAGTAATATTATGGGAACATTTCTTTACGAAAAAAATCTACCCATCCAGGGAATCGAACCCCGAACTCAAAGCACACGAGTCCAGAGTTTTACCAACAAGCCAAATTGACTTATAATATATTTACGTTTTTTATGCTTTATGAATAACTCAAATCAGTCTGTAATATTACTGTAATATTCCCGGTAATATTACCTTGAGGCGGACATTTTAAGATCACTGTAAGATTACTGTAATATTACAGCGTTATATTACGAATCTCACGTGTAATATTACCTTGATATTGAGGATATATTACGTGCTTCTTGGGAATTAATGATTTTTTAGTTGATTTATATAATATTATCCAAGGGGATTAAGAAATCAGAATTTGTTTGAATTTGTTCGATTTGCTTTCGAAAATGCCATCTACTACTTAAAGCAATGCGTACATAGTCCAAAGGGCGTCTATGAGCAAATGACCAAAAGGACACTACAAGCAAGTGTTTTTAAATCGATAATAGATAAAACACCAGACATGTCCCCTTGCATGACGTATTGCGATTCGTTGTTTAACAGATCAAAAGTGGAAAATTATTGTCGAACAGTATCTGACGATGTAGTTTTTATCGGTAAAGGTAAACAAGATTGTAATTATCCAAATTTGTCGAACACAGAAAATTGTGTTTCAAGTTTTGAAAGATGTGTAATTAGAAAAATGATTGTACATAGCATTGAATACAAGCTACCGCAAGAAACAAACAACACTGTATTTCAATTACAAAATGGGGACTTCGTTAGAGTAGTTAATATATTAAAATGTGACAATGAGGGCTGGGTTGAAATCGAAAAATCAAATGCAAATAAGTTAAAAATTGAATGTTGTAAAAAAATACATTACCGGGCACAAAATGTAATACTACAAACACCGTCTATTCGAAAAATATCTGGAAAGTTGACTCGTACAATCCAAGAGAAGTTATACCGATTACAAACATCGTCGAAAAGTGTATTGTAATTAATGTAGAAAAAGGTACATTTCTTTCAATTTTGCCAAATACTGTTGAAATACAATAAACTTCTTAATTTAACATAGTTGCTTTTAATATTATTCCAAAATATGAAATATATTTAAAACATAAAAAGTTTAACAAATTTTTCTCATTTAAAATTTTAAAAGAATTTAATGTAAATAGCTTACGAAATATCCCTAAATCAATTTAAAAAATTTTTTTAAAAAAATTAAAACCAGTTTGTATTAAAATCTTTAATAAAACTATAGTCGTCCTGTTGCGAAATATTTAAGGATAGATTACCTACAAGTTTCAGAATGTTAAGGATTTTTAACTTATCCCACTTTTTTATTATTTTAAAAACAAAACGTTCACACAAACACCGGATTCTATACACTCATATTGGACAGTTTCCGCAAGTAACTTCAGAAGAAGACTTTATCTGACTAATTTCACACCGACGCGGACTAAAACCAGATTCATTACATACTACAATCGGAATGTTCCGCAATCATCATACTAATTTTGTAATATTCCGCTTGTTTGCAAATAGATTACGTACAAGTTCCAGATTATTCCGGATTTGTGTCCTGTTGCCGAGCTTTAGTCATATAAATCGCGGATCGATTCAGAGCATTATCGTACTATATATGCATACTAATTTCGGATAGATTCATCGCAATTTCGGATTAAGACTTTCCCAGACTACTTTCCGATTAAAGCGGACCACAACAAGATCTATTACACACTTCAATCTTATTGTTTCGTACTCAATTCGATTAAAGATATTTACCAACTAATTTCGTACTATTGCGGACTATTTGCAACTAAATTACGTACAAATTTCAGATTATTCCGGATTCGAGTTTTGTTGCCGTGCTTTAGTCATATATAAATCGGATAGATTCAGTGCAATACAGTACTGTATATGCATACTAATTTCGGATTAAGACTTTCCCAGACTAATTTCGGATTAAAGCGGACCAAAATCAGATCTACTACATACTTCAATCTTATTGTTTCGTACTCGATTCGATTAAAGATATTTACCAACTAAATTCGTACTATTGCGGACTGTTTGCAACTAAATTACGTACAAATTTCAGATTATTCCGGATTTGTGTTTTGTTGCCGTGCTTTAGTCATATATAAATCGGATCGATTCAGAGCATTATCGTACTATATATGCATACTATTTTCGGATAGATTCATCGCAATTTCGGATTAAAGCGGACCAAAACCAGATCTACTACATACTTCAATCGAATTGTTTCGTACTCAATTCGATTAAAGATATTTACCAACTAATTTCGTACTATTGCGGACTGCTTGCAACTAAATTACGTACAAGTTCCAGATTATTCCGGATTTGTATCTTGATGCCGTGTTTCAGTCATATATAAATCGGATCGTTTCAGAGCAAAACCGTATTCAATTTGCATACTGATTTCGTATTGATTCAATGTAATTTCGAAATATGACTCTGCCTAACTATTTGAGGATTGATGCGGACTGAAATTGGATTCTTCACATACTAAATTCGGCATGTTTTGTTCTTGGTTTGGACTTATATTTTTGAACTGAACTAATTTCGTATTATTGCGTTTTTTGTTCGGACTGAATTCGAAGTGAAGCGAATTGTTTTCATATTTTGCCTATACTATTTTCGGATTTTCCCTTATAAATCGCTTTACACACATACACTGAAAAAAATAGTATTGAACTAAGAAAATTTTACTTGGTTCAAGAAAATCGTGGGACTGAATACGGTCAAATCAATTATGCTACTGTTTCAAGAAAACCATTTACATGGTGCAGTATATTTGAAAGAAGTACATATGTTCTTGATCCAAGAAAATATGGAATTCGATCAACAAGTTCATCGACTTCTATGAGTAAAATATTTTCTTCTTCTAAGAATATCTGTAGTCAAATCAATTATTGCATTTGATTCATTAAAATTTTTGTTATGTTGGTTCAAGTAAGTAAAGATTTAAATCAAAATATTATTTACATTGTCAGAAGAACGCATGTTCTTGGTCCAAGAAAATATGGAATTCGTCTAAGAAGTTAATTGACTTCTAAGAAATGTAAAATATATTAAGTCAAGATCATATATATATTAAATCAAGAAAATATTTTCTTAACTTGAGAAAAGTTATGGAGTTCAACCAAAAAAATATTTTTCCAATACAAGTAAATATTTACTTGAATTACCCCCTACACCCCTTCCTGATCCCACCATGTCTAATTCTTAAGTCAAACATTTTTATTTATTATTATTATTATTAACATTCATATTTTTTATTATTTATTTAAGTAATGTTTATTTTACATACATATTTATATTTAATTAATACTTAACACAATTAAAACAAGTATACCTTGAATCAAAATTTTTCACGGTCCAAGGAAGTGATCCCGGGTTGCGCGCACCAGAAGCAGTAACGTAGACCACTATGCCACCTTGACTCAATTGACGATTTTCAAAAACTCCTATTTAAGTTTCATATATCCATTTGGAGAGAAATATTTTCTTGGATCAAGAATACGGGATTTGTATTGAGTAAAAAATTAATTCAAAGCAAATGAATAAAACTATTTAATTCAGGAAATGAAAAATCTTCAGACAATATTTTAATATTTTAAGTAAAAACATAATATTCTTGATTGAATAGTTTTTTGTACTTCGGGAAAATAAAATATTGGGTTGCGAGAATAACATATTTACTAAATCTACTAAATACTAAATTCTTAATTCAAGAACTATGTGTTAATCAAGTTAAAACAAGTATTTACTTATATTAATATTCGCATTTTCTTGACTCAAGACTATATTAGCGTTGAATTAAATAAAAAATATTTTTAAGGAAACAAAAGAATGATTTCATTCAAGATTATATCACTATTTCAACTGAAAAAATAAATTATTTTATTTAAGATAATATAATATTATTTCTAGAAATTGAATGTGATATTGAACAATATAATATGAAAATGCTTCAAGTATATTAAACACTTGCATTGATTAATGTTTAATTCAAACAATATATTTTTTAATCAAGTTTAAACAAGTATCTACTTAAATTAATCTTTCCATTTTCTTGGATTAAGACTATGAGTG